ATGAAACCCAAAGATGGGGCAGCTGTCACTGCTGTCTGCTGACATCACTGTGCTGGGGCAAAGCCCCTGTTTAAATCTTATAATCTTTGTTTATAGGATAGACTTACAGTCACTGACCTAATAGTTATTACTCCAACTTGTTAAGTAACAAAGTCTTGCATTTGAGGTGTCCAGAGTTCGCTTGGTTTAAATTTCCTTAACAACATCTTTCAACCAGACCTCTGCTCGGTTGCTTCTCTGCAGGATGGGAAAGATGACTCCCTTTCCATAGAAAGGCACCAGCTCTCAGGCCCTATAACCTTATCAGGACACCTCCTTCCTCAAGGCAAGCAGAAGAAGAAAACCTCGAGCGCCATTCGCAGGCTATGCCAGAGGAAAAAGAAGCAGGAAGCGTCCTCCAAAGACGATGAGAAGCCGCTTTACGACAAAATATGTCCAAAGGTCTTCTTCCTCCTGGAAAGCATTCACGTTCCCAGGATCCCAAGGACTCCACACAGAGCTGTTTTGAGTAGAAAAGTGCATCTACCCTGGCGTTGTGAGACAGAGACGGTCCTTCCAGCAGACATGCGTCCCGTTCAGACAGCCTGAGAAATGCAGGTGGGCACCTGTGTCTTGTGCCTCTGTGGGGTACATCCAGCAGAACCATTCTAATAAGCTTATTATCCAACAATGTCAAGACCTCAGACGTCACATATTAGTTTAACTTGCCATATTGCCTGTCTCATGAATAAAGTCTGTCAGGTTTTGAAGCGTTTATTTTTCCCTTTTTATTAGCATGCTTTAATACATAATAGCACATAATGAATGTATTTTTTCCTCAGGATGATGGGAATGGATGTGTATGCATATGGTGTCTTGATTCTTTTTACTCCTTTATCTTCCTTCCCTCCTGTGTCCTCCCATCCACATGTCCCCTTCCCATTTCTACACTGACTTCTATTTGCAACTAATTTCGATAATACATTTGCATGCAGAAGCCTTCCTAACTTCCTTTAAAATATGTTGGATGTTTCTCTTTAATCATTGAAAGTTTCTCGAAGGTATTCTGTAGATACAAGTGTGTGCATATGTTTGCTTGTTTGGGCACTGCATATCCATCCGGACTTGATGGAGCCATTAAATTCCATTGCATTCAGAGCACTTAGTGAGGAGTCTGGAACATAATAGGTGCTCAGCACAAATTCTTATCTTATTTCTCTCTCCTCTCTCCAACTTGCATGCTAGGAATTAAATGAATAAGCACTAATAACTAATGTCTTTGGCTAACAATAAATGACTCCCTTTCTCCTCCAGTGTTGCCCTCTTGTACCTCTAACCTGCAATCTCTTTGCTGTAAAAACTGAGTACAAAAACTCATTGAGCACCATGGATTATACATATTTTGTATGAGCTAATGTGTATAAAATTGTAAAGGCTGAGATGCATTGGTGCATTCTAGGAATAGGCCCTGCCTAGTGATGGTGTCATAGGCTTTCCATACACCAAAAGATTTCATTGGCTACAATGTTTCAGTGATTAATGGTAGCACATCTCCTGAGAAAGGCATTGTAAGGCTATTTCTTTGTTATATTAACATCATAGAGTACACTTACATATTTTTACCAGAAAATCTTCCATAACATATATTTCTGTACAGTAGCACATACCAGTCAATTTTTTTATTTTCACTATATGTATGTTTATATCTCCTTTATAATATTGTGTTTCTTTCATTTTCTATTTCTCACTAATCAGACTTCATAGGGTTTTATCTAGATATTCATCAATATTTTCAAAGAAACTCATTTTCATTCACATACTTTCTATATTTTTTCTTTTAGCTCTTATCTTTAATATCCTCCTTGTACATTCCTGTTTTATTTTGTTATTTTTGAACTTATTTTATTTTTAAATTTATTTTCAATTCTTATTTTTTAATGACAAAGGTTGACTCTTGTAAGTAGATAGCTAGATTTTGTTTTTTAACCTAATCATTTGATACAGAACTATACCCATTCATATTTCTTATAAAGCTGCTTTAATTGCTCCATTTTATATTTAATTTCTAGCATTTATATTTTGCTATTATTTCTTTTTATCTGTTTTTCTATTTTTTGGTAACTGAGTCAAGTTTCTCTTCATTTTTTTACTCTCCTTGGTAATTTGAAAAGTATTTCGGCTTGTTCTTCGTCCATAACTATTGAAGTTAACTATTCTTCCTGTTAGTATCATTATTGATGATTTCTCTCCTATAATGATGTCTGCTGCCCTACAACCTGCAGCTCTTCACATGCCTTAACTATAACATATCCTTTTCATTCCCTTTGTTCCAATAATCGATACTCATCATGAAAGTATAAAGTCCCACCAGTATCACTACCATGATGCCTTGTTTCCACTCCTTTTGGTCTTGAGATCTTTTTATTTAACTGCCATGGGGTTAGAGTACTTTCTGTAGTGCTTCCATCAGAAGGCTATCTGAGTAGCCACACTGAGTTCTCCATCCCAAATTGATTTTCTCTTGGACCAGATCAATAATATTTTACTGATCAAGTGCTTCTTCGGTCTTGGAACTTCTCACAATAGATGTATTACACCACCTTTACCTTTCAGCAGACTTTGCTCTGTGCACTTAATTTCACGCTCTTTCAGCTTTCAAAATTGGGAACAAGTATAGTGTGGGTCTAGCTTTTCTTTATACTCAACCTGATGGCTTTATAAGCAAATTTTATGAGATTTAAGAGGTTGGGGAGAGAGAATTCTGTTGCTTTGCTTTCATTTTTGAATGGTGGCTTTTTAAATTTTGTTTTGCTTTGTTCCATATGTAGAGTCCTAGGTCATGCTCCCCGGGGGACACTGTGAAATGGGATTTGTGGACAGGGATGGTACTGAGTTCTCTTGGGAACTGTGCCTGTAAGAGATGAAGAAGTGGGATAGTGAGAAGGGACGCAGTGAGCCATGGTATGGCCTTCAAGGAGGCCACAGCTGATCTTGCAGGAGCTGAGTGTGAATTAGAAAACTGGGACAAGAGGACTTGTCTTCCGCATTCCACATCAAGGAGCCATCAGAGATGGACTGCAGCAGGTAGAGGATTATGGTACGCAGCCCCATTGGGGGACCCAAGAAGGGCTCCACACCACTGCCTATGCTAAAAGCTCAGAATTCAATGGGGAGATGTCTAGTGCAGTGGTTTTATTTGGATTTGTTCATTTTGTGTGTGTGTTAATTCTTCCTTAGACTCAATTCTTGTAATCTGAAAGCTAACAACCTCTTTAGTTCAGGAAAATGTACTTCTCCACCTTTTCCCTTTCACCTTCTGGATCCCTCACTATTTGCATGTTAAATTTCCTAGTTTCTCTTAGTGCACTGAAAAAGTTTTGCACTGCTATCTCGTTGTTTCTTCTTTGTAAGACAGAATCTGTTTTGTATCTGAACAACTACTTTGAACATGATGCTGCATCATGTATTAACTGTTGTTATTCTTTTTATTATTTTGTTATGAAATTTTGTTTTATTTTTTCATAAAGATATTTCCCAGATCTGTGCTCTAATTCACTTATCTTTGTACTCATGGTTTGTTTGTTTTTTTCTCTATGGCATGTTCTACTTCCATTTACTTAATCTTCTAGATCTCTAATTCAATTGCCAGAACAAATTACGTATTTTTCTGATTCACAAAACATTAATGGCTTCATTCAGAAATCATTATTCTAAGTTCCCAAATCCCCTCATGGTGTCCCAGGGACATATTTTTGAGGACACTCTCCACCTTCATGTCATTCCGTTTATCTCCCCTCTTTGATTCACCTCCATGAGTCATTTGTCCATACCATTGGATTTCTCTCCCCTGATTCCAAATTCCATTAGAGGAACTGGGGTCTCTCTTGAAAGTCATGCTCTACTTCCTTGTATAAGTCAGATGCTTTTGGTGCTGAGCTTGGGGAAACTCAAAGGTGGTGGAAGGCATGGAAGTTTACATTCCCATCATCTGCTGAGGCCCTGGGAAGATGGGAGAGATGCTGCCTTCCAGGTGCAGAGTTTGTCTGATCCTCCTGAGCCACTCAGTGTGGGGCAGCAGATGCTCCTGCTGTGGACCACAGTGTGATGAAGACAGACTAGAGCTTTTCTCCTTCAGGGACATTAAAGTCTGCCACCTTCTTCTGGGCCTTGAGAAGAAACAAAGTGCCTCTTTCTCTCAAGGTTATTAATGTTTTAGGTCTTTCAGCTCTCACGTAATCTCAGTGTAGCCCTCAGCATCAAGATTCACTACGCTGCATGGCATGAAGGTGAAGGAAGGGAAGAGTCAGGCTGGATACTCCTTCACTCCCAGAATCCTCACAGAAGCCTCCCTCTGAGTTTTCCTTGGGCTCTTCTGCTGACCTGAGTAGTTCTAATCTTCCCATTCAAATGCTTTCTTGCAAGCAGCACTCACATCCTATGTGACTCTGCTTTTCTCTCTGCAGCTATCACATATGGTCCAGGGCATTGTAGATACTCATTAAGCAGGTGCTAGCCTTGGCAATAAGTCCTGTGATCTTATTTGATGCCTTTCATAATCTTCATGGCTTTAAAATCACATTCTAAATGGATGGAATTCCTTCTGCAAATCCCACCCAGGTATCTAATTCAGGGAAGCCATGCATATCAACTCACTTACAGCCCAAGAATCAGATAAATCAAATCCACTGAATCCTCAGTAGGGGGAGGAAGGGATGTGCTGTGTTGGATTTAAGAAAGATAGATCTGGGCTCTAATTCCAACCTTTCTACTCACCAACCAAACCTTCTCTGAGGCTCAGCTTCTTCATCTACTGAGTCATTTAGTTCTTTCGGTACAAAGTTGTTGTAAGAATTAAATGAGATATGGGGGCCGGGGTGTAGCTCAGTGGCAATGAGCCTGCCTGGCAAGCAGGAGGTCCTGAGTTCGATCCCCAGTACCAAAAAACAAAAGAAGAATTAAATGAGATAATGCATTAATGTACCTGGCATACAATAAGAGTTCATTACTATGAGCTAACAGCATGATTTTTAAATTAAATTTATTTTTAAATTGACATAATATGTATAGGTATTTATGGGTTACAGTGCTACAAACCAGTGCATACGTACAATGTAGAATGATTGACTCAAAGTCGCCAGGACCTCCATCTTCTCAGATATTATCATTTCCGTGCGTGGAGAGACTTCCCGCTGCTCTGTTCTGATCATTAGCATTATTGTCATCATAATTGTTGTCACGGTGTACGGACAGCGATGGGTGCTCAGGAGCTGAGGGACACAAGCAAGCAAAGAAGACCCGGGAGGAAGATAAGGAAGGAAGGGCCTTACCTCTGAGTCTTAATCCAGCAATCCTGAATGCACTGAGTGTGAAGGTTTGAAATCCTTCTCTGGTTGTAGTGACAGGTCTGCAAGCTCAGCCTGCATTTTGTTTCTATTTTGCTAAATGACATCACACCAAACCTCTTACAGGAGCATCCCTTTCACACGGTCACCTCGCAGGCAGAAGCAGACACACCTTGCCCACTGCTCTGCAGGTGAAGTCAGGACAGGAGGAGCTGCAGCTGAATCACCATCCCGGTACACCGCAGAAAGCTCAGAGGAAGTGTCGGCTCCAGGGCCAGATAACCAGGTTCTCACCCACTTCTGCCACTTAGAAGCTGTGTGGCCTCAGGCAAGGTGCAAGACTATTCTGTGCCTCTGTGAAAGAGGACTTTCAACAAATATTTAGATATCACTACATAAGCACTTTAAAAATATTGATGCATTTGATCTTTTCAACAGCCATGGACAGGAGGTAGGTCAGATAGGGTGGGCAAAGATTACATGGTTCATACATGTAACATGATGGGAGGGCCTGGCTTGGCATGTAGTAAATGCTGTGCAAGTGAGATTGTGAGCTGCTGTTGCCATTATTGGGAGTGTTGTCCGTTAGCTGCAAGTGTCACTGCCATCCTCTTCATCTTCTGGGTTCCACTCCAGCACCCAGTGGCAATTTTTCTCTACTCATCTCACCATCGAGCTCTCTCCCATTTCTTAGGCTCACAGTCCTTCTGGTATTTCCCATCCTATTCTTTCCCACTCCCTCTCCCACTGCTGGCTTTGATTGTCCTCATGTTCTGAGCCATTCAGTTCTTCCAGCCAATTCCCTTGGTACCAACTCTCCTCAGACCCTCAATATGCCAAGCACAGATCTGGGTCTCCTTTCCTGTGTGGTCGAGGGCTTAGAGGATGATGGGCAGCCCGAGACAGAAGGATGGGACTCCAAAGACCTTCCATGTGTGTCCACAGCTCAGTATATTTGGTACAGTAGAATGAGACTCTTCTACTCTACTATACCAAATCCCTCTAAAGTAGCCCACCTTCCAAACATTTTTTACACACCTCATTGAAACACTGAACTTATTTGTTTACTAAGCACATCATCTAATTATTTAAACATCAAAGCATGCTAACTAGATGTATTTATACATTATTCTCAGTTGTGTATGTTTTATATTTAAAAAGAATATATAAGCTGGTTTGTAACATATGGAATGCCTTCTTGACAAACAATTATTTCATATTCAGGCACATAAAGCTAAATAGGACCAATAATAAGGATATGTTTAATGGCTTGTTAAGTATAAAAGATTGATACAAGGTGTATGTAGAATATAATATCATTTTTAATATACTTGAAACTAGAGGGCAAGACCCATGGCGAAAATTGGCATTGTAGGGTAAAGCCCAGACCACATCACCAAAGGTCCTTTCTTGTAATCCATGTTAAAAAGTTTGAGGTTCATCTCCAAGGTAATTGTAGAACATTTTCAGTAAGGGCTTTCTACAGAGAATTGACATAATCCTCCAAGCATTTTAATGTCTAAAATATCATCCTGGCATCGGTACAGGGGATAGATTGGTTAAGAAAGTAATACTGGATGCGGTCACAATATTCCAGGCCAAAAAGAAAAATTACTGGGATTGAAAGCTGAGGCCAATGGAGAGAACAATGGAGAGTCAAGTGATGAGCAGCCAGCTGTGACAGAACTTGTGATTTACTTTATGAAGGGGCTCCTGTAGTGGACCCTCCATCACTGGGTAGATGGTGGCATACTTTGCCAAAACAGACAATTCGGGAGGAGATAGAGGTTGGGGAGGGGCTTGTCAGGAGAATATAATCCATTTGGGTTTTTACTTGCTGAGTTTGTGCTATCTCTAAGAGGTCCAGAGAGACAGCTGTATTTGCTAGAATGTAAGAGATCAGGGGCATCGATGGTTCGGACCAGTACATCTGAGGTCTAACACAACACCAGGCAAATGCTAAGTGCTCAGTACATTTCAGATGATTATGTGTTCCTAGCCAAGTTTACGGATTTGGATATGATGACTCTGCTCTGGGCAATTGTCTTAGTTACTTTTCTCATTGCTGAGACAAGATATCTAACACCCAGAGTTGAAGGAAAAAAGGTTTATTTCAACACCCAGTTTGTAGAGGTTTTAGTCCATAGTTTGCTCCTTCCAAGGCAAAGCAAAATGGCAAAGTCCATGGTGGAGGAGAAAGAGTTCATGGTGTGACAGGCAAGAAGCAGCAACAGCAAGCAACAGCCTTCTTTTCCCTTTTATCCCATGCAAAATACAAGCCTTTTGGGTGGTGCCACCCATACCCAGGGTGCGTCTTCTGTCTTCAGTAAATCCATTCAGCCACACCCAGAACTATGATAAACCAATCAGTGGAGTATTCCAGTTATCACACACCCTTAATCTCAGTGTCAGACATTCTAGATCCAGCCAACTCCAAACAGCCTCACCTATGAGCACATGATATGTTGGGGAAACATCTAGATACAAGTCATGACCACAATACTCAATGCTTTCTGGTTTTCTTACACAGAAAATCCTATAATTTCCTTGGGTGTCTACCATGGCCATATTACTTTCAGAAATGTGGAACTTCTGTTCCATGCCCAAAGGGGTATGTTACAAAAATCATACTAAGATTCTTAATGCTACTATGACTTTTTGTTAAAGAATAGAAACAAAGTTGGTAAATTGTTTACTGACAAAAGAGCTAAAGGTGCAATAATAAATTTTCAAAGTGGTCAGACTGAGTAGAATGAATAAAATCAAAACATGGGAGTGAGTTACTAGGATTTTTTAATCCGACATTTGGCTATCAAGTTGCCATCCAAATGATTAAGAGAGCCAGGTACAATTGCTTGAGGCCGATTGTGAGCAGCATGCACATCAAAAAGTCTACAAGGGATCTTTGCATTAGAATGAGCAGCACGGAAAGGTGCAGACCTCAAGGAGAAATCTGGAAAAGACTTTATGGAAAAAGGGGAAAAATGTACTAAACAGCTCTGCTACTTGGAGGAGTTGGAACAAATCGTCCTTTCCTGAGAAGCTTGAATTACCTGCCTATCCCTTTAAGCATTTTCATGTACAAATCAAACACAGATGGCCCATTACGTTTATGACCTCACTGTCAATTACTCTAGATGGAGCATGCATTAATTATTGAAATATTTTCATAGTATACAAGTTTTTAGTGGTTACATTGCCACAGATAATTTCAACTTTCTGATTAGAAGCTGGTATAAACAATTTTATTTATGAGAATTAATCTCTTGAATGTAGTGAAGATTACAAATACAGTAGTGGATTTTTTTCCCCCACTTATCAAAGCCAAAGTGGAAATCCTGGCCTCCATACTTGGAAGTCAGTGTTATGTTCGCTCCACATAAAATACATAAACTCTGCCAAAATCTATTACAATTGTAGTAAATTTTGATTACTGGAGTTGTTTATTATTTATGTTGAGAAGATAAAGATAATATTTGGAATAGTCCTCTTCTATTCAATGTATAAATTAAGTCATAAAATATCTTGTTTTGTAAACTGTAAAAAGAAAAAAAAAGGCTAAACTTGGTTGAAGCTTCACATTGTTGCATCTGCTTCTGTTCAAGGCAATGAATACTTTTAGAGGATGACAGTCCAAGGACTTATTTAGGCTTTTAACTGTGCAACTAGATTTGAGTACAGGGGACATGGTGAACAAAATGCTAGAGTGTGAGAGGTGAGCTCATGTACCTAAGGTGACCCCCACATAAGGCAGGAGAGGCAGAATAAGGATCAGCCCCCTGGCCCCAGAGCCCACACTCCTAATCTACCAGCCACTTTCACCATTTCCAATTCACCTTTTTCTAGCTCAAGATTTTTTTAATCTGGGTCCTTCAGACTTTGTATTTAAATGGAGTCGGCCAGAGTTTTTCCAGGAGAAGCCTTCAGCTGGATAGACTACTCTTCTATTTACTTATCTGTATTCCTTCTCTCCGAACTTTACTGTAGCAAAGAATATTCAGGCAAGGAATGGCACAAATGAGACAGGCATTAAAGGAATGCAGATTTCACAGCCCAATGGGATAAAGTGGTCCCTCAAGCCAGGCAATGTCAACATGCAATCATGGGCTTCTTTCTCTGGCCAAAGCAAAACAGGTATGGAAAATTATACCTCTAGCAAGGCACACACAGAGTGCTGAGGGCACTCTGGTTTCACAATGGGCTTTGCACAACACAGAAGTGAGAAATTCCCACGTAACTCGGGACATTTAAGGCTCCCTCTCTGGCCAGAATCATGCAAGAAGATGGAAATGTAGCATCTGTGTCCAGAAAAAATCATCCATCAGTGAGCACTGCTTATATAGTAGACGTTTACAGCAGACATTAGTAAGACACACTGCTAGTGGGGAGAATCCATGTAAAAATTAAATGACATATCAATTAATTAAATATTCTTCAATTAATTTCAGATATTAATTTCACTAAATTAAAAGTGATATATTCCCCTACTGCTAATAATGGAACTCTCCCAAGGCTTTTTAAGCACTTCATACTTTTTAAAACTCTTTTGCTATTGGTATGACAGAGGGGACTGCAGACCTCAGCTGACTTTTTCTGTGGTTGTAACAAATTGACAGAGAACAGCCTAGAACCTAGAGTGATGGTGTGACAATGGTCAGTCTCTGGACATTCTTTCCAGTTATTTTGTACGTGGTCCCACCCAAGGTAGAATGGGAAAATACCCTCATGTCCACTGACCAGATGAGAACTGGAGTTCAAAGACAAAGAACAAGTCAACACTGAATCCCATTCAAAAACTGGTATAGCCAGGAAGCAGAAGGGAAGAGAGGGAAGAGGGTTGGGAAAAAAAGAATTAAGATGCTAATGTACATGTACCAACTCCCCATGAGGTGGGTAGTCATTATGTACTATAAATATGTACCAATACAATTTTTTAAATTAAAAATTCTTTATCCTGGAAGTGACAACATGTCAGGAAGATCTTAATAAATGTATACCTAAAAAAACAAACAGTAACCAAGCACACAAAGTCCGCTGAGGTATGTTATGAGTGTACGGGTGAACAGGAGGGTGTGGCTACTATTAGGATAAGAGTAGAAAATGAAATACACAGTAGTGTGCAAGGTGAAACAGTTGTACAGAGGTGGAAGTAATTTCTTTTATATAAGATTGAGAAAACATCCACCCAGTTACAAATAGAACTGTGTTTAAAAATTAACTGGAAGAACAATATCACAGGAGGTTAAGCAATTTCTAATTCTGTAATTTATTATGGGATTGGGCCACAGTATCATCTCAAATGCTTGAAAAACTAGTCTTGTGGTTTACTCAGAAGTTTGGACAAGCCAAGTGTAGTGGTGCAGGCCTGTGATCCCCACACCCTCAGAGGCTGACACGGATGGGATTGCCAAGTTCGAGCCAGTCTAAAGCAACTTAGCAAAACCGTGTCTCAAAATAGAAAATAAAAATGAGCTGGAAAGTAGCTCAATGCAAAGATGCTGGGTTCAATCCCAAGGACAGTGAAGGAGAAGAAAAGGAGGAAGAGGAGGAGGAGAAAACAAAGAGGAGGAGGAAGAGGAGGCAGGGGAATCAGCTTTGAACACGGAGCACTAAAATCTGGTTTTTAAAAAGTTCTATTTTGATCCACAGACTAATACCTCCATAAGACAAAATGTAGTCCATGGGGCAGGAGCAGCCTCTCCAGGAAGCCTTTTGGGAAAGTCGTCTCAGGCCCCATCCCAGGCCTATTGGGTCACAATGTCTGCACTTTAGCGAGATCCCAAGGCAGCTTCTCTATGCCTCACAGCTACAGTTTATAGCATCCCTCTCCTGCTATGCATTCACCTAGGACGGGAGTCACATGACCCGAGCCACTCATAGTGAGCCAGTGAGAAACCTAAGAGCTCTGTTTCTGTCTGCAGTTTCCTTCCTAGTCTCATGTTGTAGATTTCCATCAAGCTCTGATGAAGAATAACAAAAATATTTAATTCTAAATGTCTCCTAACAGTTTATTGAGGCTCACCATCTTATGCATGGGCTCTCAGGTATTTCAAGCGCTTCCAAAATTCACCTTCAAAATATTTTGATTAGGAAAACATGATTCCCTATCCCTACATTTCCAATAATTCTCCATAATTCATAATTTTGCAGAGACAAGCATTTGAAAATCCTGTTTGCTAGCTGTCTTTGCCCCACTAAGAAAATCAATCTATGAAGGTCAAGACACTCAGGTGTCCAGTGGGAAAGCTACACTGAATCACTCTGTCCTTGTGCTAAAGTTTCAGGCCCTCCTTATGAGTCTGTTTAAACCAGTTTCCCCACTTGGAATTGGGGTTGCTTCACATTTTTCCCATCTCTGGCTCCTTGCTTCCAAGACCATTGTATACTTACTCTTCCCTAATTAGAAGGAACTCTTCCATCCACCTTTCTGGGGTTCGGGAAGAAAAAATCTTCCTTCTGTCCAACTCTCACCACACACCTAGGCACAATACAGTTAGAATAATATTATAACATAAAATATTTTTTCATACAAAGAAATTTTGAAGAAAAAAATAACTTTCAAACCTACCAACCTGACAAGTTCATGATCCAGTACATAGAAAGTTAGGTTCATATACAAGTTTGTACTTCATCTTTCCTTAACATTACCTCAAAAAATTTTAATATTATTATAGGCTTCATAACATTTGAATGTTCATATGATATTTCAATATGGATTGGTTATAAGTATGTAATCAATCTGCTTTCTTGGCTATATAATTGACTTCTAATTTTTCATTCTTAGAAATAACTTCCAAAACCTAATTTTAAAGATTGCAAGATTGGATCCCAGTATTTGATAATTATTGTCAAAGAGAGGAATACTGGCCAGTGGCCAGGATTACATTGCTAACTTCCTTCCGTTAAGCTACTGGTAAGTATGTACCAGGAATCACAAAGGGGGACAGGCAGAAAAAGTGTTTAAAAAAAAAACAACCCTAATTATTCTTATCTTAGAAATCAGTTAAAAGCACATGTTCTATTAATTGACTCAAATTATCACTTTCATCTTGGAGTCAGTATACAAGGTATAATCAAAATATATGGTAAAGATTTAAATTTTTAAAATGTATCACAGTGAAAAATACATTGCTACTAATTCCCCTCAAAATAGCCCTCCTGCTTCAAACACACTCATCCTATCATCCTTGCCACTTTCGCAAGCACTTCTAGAAGTCCTCTTTCTTGAGTACCTTTCCTTAGCAACCTAGATTTCTTAAATGTATTCAAAATGTAACCATTTCTGTCACATAAAAGCATTATGGTATGTCCTCATCCACCTTATTCATGGGTCTCTCACTGTGCAAGTTCTGGCTCTTCCCTAAAGTCAAAATAGCAATGAAAGGGTGATGTTTTGAATTGATTCTTATAATGTAATTTTTTAAAATTTAAACATTCACTGCATTTTTTGATCGCACCTAATGTGGTGTTAATTATGTGTGAGGTTCACTTCATTTCACTTAAAGTTGCTCAGTTACAAACCATTCCTGGGTTATAGAATTGCCCATTTCCTGCCTATGGCTACATTGGAGTAGAACTGAACATACTTAGCCATAAGCATAACATTTTAGTGCTGCTATAATTCGATTACATTCTCACATTCTGTTCTGCAGTATAGAATCAAAAATGTAGCCAACACTTAGAATTTGCTTAGCCTTTATTTAAATCACACTTTAGTCCACCATTTCCATTAGACCTACCTCAACAGCTGCTTTCTGTGTCTCCTACCCTGTTCAAATTACTATTGTTGTCCAAAGAATAAAGGTCACACTCATTTTTTGTGGTGCATGAGAGAGATGGTAGAAGCCTCACTGAATGGCCCAACTTTGAAGGTAGTCTTCTGAGAAAAGGACACTCCAGGCCCTGGGGAGAGCAAAGAGGCAGAAAACCTGGGGGAAGCACGACCAGTTTTGTTTTGCTAAATAAAATAAATATAAAGGAAATGGAAAGAATAATTTTTAAAGATGAATTGGGGAAGAAATCATGGAAGACTTTGAAGACCAGGACAAAGAGTCTGGAAAAGAAGCTATTTCAGGTTATACGAAACTAAAACCAAATTTGTGCCCCACGATGACTTAGGAGGGCAAACTGATGGAAGAGACAAGACCCAGACTGAGGCACTAGTAGTACAGAGCCATTGGGGTGGAAAGGAGCTGAAGCCTGAGGGAAGAGACAAAAGAATAGAGGAAAGACAAAGGAAGGTCCTGCAGAGGAGCAGAAACACACCACAAGACAGGGACAAGGAAAGCTGCTCTTGGCCGGTGATTACCAGGACAATCCCCTTCTTGAACTTCAAGCCCAAAATAGACTTCTTTATCAGAATACTTTCTGTCTCTCTGCTCACAAGGCTACCTGCAAAAGCAGGAACAGGGCTGGGAGTGTAGATCGGTGGTAGTGTTCAGGACAAGAAAGAACGAAAGAAGAAAAGAAAGAGAGGAGGGGGGAGAGAGAGAGAAAGAGAGAGAGAAAGAGCTTAGAAAAATATGCAGGCCTGGGCCGGGGATTTAGCTCAGTGGTTCCAGTGCCTGCCTCGAAAGCACAAGGTCCCGAATTCGATCCCCGGTACCAAAACACACACACACACACACACACACACACACAAACAAAAATATGCAGGCCTAGGATAAAGCAAGCTGAAGCAGTTGTTTGAGACACTGAAGCTACGATGGAAATGGCAGTGTGTCACTGCCTCTATTCATGCACACTGAAAAGATGAATGTGTTTTGTTTGGTTTCATTTTTGGACCAGAGGCTTTCCAGCTTCTGAATGTGGCCACCGGAGTTTGTAAACATCTGGCCAGGCTCCAATGATGAGGCTACCTGTCCCCACCTTTCCCAAGAGGAGGGAGAAACCCAGTAGGGAAGGAACATGAGGTAATCTCCACCTTCTTCGAGAAACAAAGTTATCACAGAGCATAAGAGTGACTGAGCTTATTGTCGGTGTAAGTTGAGACAAAAAGGTGATATCGGAGATGATGGTAGTGCCTTTGTTTAAAATTAAAACTACTGGATAATTTAGAAATAACAAGTAAAACATAAAATATACACACTTATGACCTAGAAACTTCATTTTAAGTGTTTATGGTAGAGCAGTGCACACTATATATTAGTGATATATATACATATATATATAAATATATAAGTATATAAGAATATACTTGAGTATATAAGACATATTTTTAAATGTCTATAAAGATATCCACAAAAGTACAATTTATAATAACCGAAAGATGGGAAGAACCCAGATGTACATTATACAGAGTAACTCATTGAGCACTGATCTAGCTAGGCCAAGCAAAAGTCTTAAAGGAGTTGGAAAGAATGAGCTGTACCTGTTTCTACTAACAAGGGAAGATTTACAACACTTAAATGAAAGAATTATCGAATGCACAAAAATATGCAAAATAAAACACTTGTTTTTGAGATTTACTGGGATGGGGAAAGGACTGGCCATGTGCACAATTCTGATAACAGGTCACCTCAAGAGAATTAAAGAAAATAAATGGAAGTTGGAAATAGTCTCAGGGAGAACTGTAGCTGTAGCATATATGCGTGCGTGTGTGTGTGTGTGTGTGTGTGTGTGTCTGATGAACCCAGGGGCTTGTGTGTGCCAGTCTAGTGCTCTACCACTGAGCTACTTCCCAAGCACCCTCCCCATTCCTTTATTTTGAAACACAGTCTCACTAATTTGCCCGGGCTGGCCTTAAACTTTTGATCTTTCTGCCGCTGCCTCCTGAATAGCTGTCACCATGCCTAGTCTTCTGTTTTATATTTACAAGGAGACTAAGTATCTGACAATTGCTTTGTGTTTCAAATTTGTTTCAATTTTTATTTGAAAATTTTAAATTTATTAGTCCTAATGAGTTGATGCTGGGTGAGAGGGTCTTACTAGGGATTGAAGCCAGGGCCTTCCTACTGAGCTACATACCTACCTCTTTTTTTTTTTTCCTTCTTTTTTTTTTTTAATTTTGAGACAGGATCATGCTGAGTTGCTAAATTACCCAGACTGGGCTCAAACTTCTAATCTTCCTGCTTCATCCTCCCAAAGTGCTGGGATTACAGTTATGTACCACAATACTCAGCTTGATTTTTCAACTTATTGGATTTTATACCAAAGACATCTTTCCTCCAAATTGATTGTTTATTTTTTAAGTGCTGGAGATATACCTCAGTGACTTGCCCAGAATATGTGAGACCCTAAGTTTGACCCTCAGAACTGAAAAAAAACATAAAAACACACAGAAAAGTCAATGACCTATTGGTTTAATCCAAAAGTTAATGGTTGGATAACAGATGCACAGATAGAAACAGAGAAAGACTAACTAACCTCTTTCAACCAATCTCCAGAAGAGCTGCCAATTTTGTATAGGATATCAAGGCAATTCTGCCCAGTAGAATCATGGTGGCCCCATTACCAACATAGTGTGGCGACATAAATACCAAAGGGCACAACGCTGAATTGCCAATTCAGGAAAAGCCATGGGTGCTACATATTTGGAAATGAGTGTGAAGTATCAACAGACTTAGATGAGAACCATGAACAAAACTGGTTTAAAATCAGAACTAAACTAATCTAGAGTGCAATTTATTCACTGAAATACTTTTCTAGGTTCAGAAATCAGTGAAAACACATTATTTTCTAAATTAGAAACTATGTGTATAGTACCTTTATATCAGTTTCAATTTTAGAGGACAAGGTAGAGCTAATGCAATTTTAATACAGATTAGCAGATAATGATTATCAGGAAGATGTCTTTTGCTCCCTCTGGACTTTTTCACTTAAGAACTTGATGATGTTTGGGGGTAAAGAGTCATAAGAGGGATTCTAGCACGTGACAGCAAAGAAAATATTAACCTGCTGTGTTGCCGAGTGCTGGATTGATCCTTCAAGCAATTTAAAAGACAATCAGAACAGGAAGACTCAAGGACAGTTTAAATATTCTGAAAAGTATTAAAGTAGCTCTACCTGTATGTAACATGCACTTTTGGTGGATTTCAGTGATTCTGGTCACATTGCTTGGGCTCCTGGACTTAGAAGGAGTTGGGTTTTAATATGTCACTTTATTTTTCCATGTGTCAAAGGTAGTGATAACCACTAAAACTGGTTTCGAAAGTGTTTCTCTGGAGCCTAAGCTCCTGTACAGTGTGCGTGGCTGAGCTCGTGAGAGTGTTCTGAGAAAAGGGTGTTTCAGCTCTTTTTTGAGATTTCCAGTGGGTCGTGCTGTAATGCTCTGTATGACAGACAGGTCTCAATTTGAAGAAGAGTGACAACCCACATCCTCTGCTTTGATGGGCTTAATGATATGGCCTGGCTTGGTGACTACCTTGGGGTGTGGGGAGCTTTTGGAAGCCCCTCTGGGTGTTCTGTGAAGACCCTGTAGGGGTCTGGATGGTCCTTTCATATTGCTGATAGTGAGTGAATGGATATGGAAGCACCTGTACCTGGTGAGCTGCTGCATGGATGTTATGCTTCTCGTTGATAATCTTTTGATTCCTCCATGTGGCAGGATCGATTCCAAAACCAGTTTAGCACACTGTGGGTGTGATTAAGCCACATTTTAGAAATAGAAGGTTTTTTATCTATTAAAAAACAGTAAAACTTCTAAATCTCTAGCACAACTAAGATAAAAATTTTAAAAATACAGATCATCGATGTGATTAAATAAACAGGAACTAGCACTAGAAAAAAAGAAAAAAGAAAAGGGTGTTTAATGAGTAACTTTCCAGTAGAAGGCCTTGAGAACTTCCTCTAAACATTAGACTGGGCTCTCCTTCTGAAATACATTAACAGCCTACAGAAGGCTCACAGGCGCCGGTTACCATGCGAAGCAGATGTAGGACGTGTCCACTCCCACGCAGGGAAAGGTCGGGGCACCCTCAGCACCCTCCCCAACTGGGGCTGTGTTTGGAGATCCCATTGACTGGAATTCTGCTGGAGAGAAAGATTGATAAAGCCAAGCAATCGGAGTTATTTCCTATGCATGAAATTGATTAAATGCTTCACTAAATGGCTTATAAATTTGCTTCTCATATTTCTGTCACCCACTGAAAAGATTACAGAAACTCTGCATATAACCATGTTGTATACAATACCAAATTACAAAAGGTTGTAAAAACTAATGTTTTGTTTAAAGTTTTGAGCAGGACCATATGCCTTCAGTGACCTTGAGTAAGCTATTTTAATTCAAAACATTTCAAAGAATATAAAGGGGAGAAATATTCAACAACATAACAAACCAGACAAGCGGTGGGTATACCTCTGCCAGCTCTGGTGAGCTCCTTTCTACAGGGTGGAGAGTGACTTCCCTCAAGCACCTTGTGCCTGGAAAGCCGAGAAGTACACGTGGTTCTACAAGGATATGTTTGCAAAGGAGATGAGAAAAAAGCCAGGAAGACCTCCCAAAGTTGAGTCTACTCTATCATTTTTTAGTTCAGAAAGAAATATCCCAATGAGTTCTGAGTCTTGGATAGACTTGCGTGTAGAAAAGACGATGATTATTATCATGGGTGGGTGGGATTGTTTTATTTGGGGGTCCTGTTTTGTTTTATCTTTGCACATCTTTGCAATGTCACTTACATTCCATCCTTTCTTCTGTGTGAGAATTCCTTCTAACTATTGTGTAACAAAAGGCTGGGGGAAGCCCACGAGCGATTTATAGGCAAGCAGGTGACCTGCAGATGTTACTTGGGAAACTAACCTCTTTCTTAACATGGCCTTCACTTCTACAGGGAAAATGATATTCCTTCATAGCATTTATAAGACATTATGTCCTTGGCAAGAATTAGCATTTGGCATTAATGCACATTTTCAGGAGTAACTTCAAGAGAAGAAATTTTATAACCAGCTATGTGCTTCAAATCTCTACTGGCCTGAACTCCACTCTCCATCACTTTCACAGATAGTCACTATGGAGAGAAAAGATGGGCTGTCACAGCCCATGACCATCTGCAAGCCTGGAGGTAGCAATGACATGAGCTTTCCCGGCATGGAAGGAGCAGGCATCCCTTCTATCATGAGGCCTGGCCTGGGGCATATGCAATTCTGCCTGCAGTTTGTGGGTGCTTCTAAGGAGTCATGATGGAATTATCCCTTGTGTATGAAAACACAAAGTGATCTCACTTGTAAAACCCAAATAATTTTTTTTTCAAATGAATATCTATTCTGGGAGACATGCCAACACTTCAGGGATGATTTAACCAGACCATCAACAGCTAGACAACTTATTTAACTCCTCGGTGATGGTTACATGAACCCTCTTTTTGGCATTAAGCCACCGCATAAGAAATACTGATGCCAGATACAGTGTTTCATAAATTATAATAAATTGGCTCCTCACTGTATAGCACATAGAGCTCACCTCTACCCACAAGTATGTGTCATCTTAAAGGTTTGAACCCTTGACTTCTGAAAGTTGACACTAATTCTATGAGGTTGTCCTTTATAAAAGGGTTTTGGTGATCAAATTCACGTGAGGACGCCTTCCCTGGAGATTGCACAGTGGACAGTAGGGTGTTAGTGGCTTCGGGGAACTCTGCTGCAAACAGTCCTACTCATTTTGATCCACTGTTTCTCACTGGACTCCAGACATTTTAGCAACTTACAATTGTTCTTTCAAACATACTCTGTGGAACACTGATTAAATCTCTTGCATATTTGGCAGACTAATCCAACTTTGGGAAAATCCAGCAACTCTGGGCTGCTTCAGAAGGAAGACTCTTGGCCAGAAAAAAAAAGTCTCTCACCCTGCTACAAGAAGATCATTGCCAGTTGCCTTCTCCTTGTGTTTTGTGGACCAGAGTCCATCCACATTCTCATCTCCTGATTAAGCCGTGTTGTGCATTCTGTGGCAAACAGTTCTTGTTTTCTTTTAAGATTATTTACAAATCCACCCTGCTTTTCTCCTTTAATAGACAGAATCTATGTTTATTCTTCCCTTGCCTTAATCAAAGTCATTCATACATCAAGATCACTCAAGAAAACCTGGCAGGGAAGAGATAAATGAAAATGACATGATTACAAATATAATATTGGATCTACTCTAATCTCTTAAAGTAAATCATTTGGAAACTTCAGCATACTAACTAGTAGGAGTAACAGATTCCCCATGAGGGACCTCAGAGATGACCATGGACGGTGCTATGCTGTCGCCTTCATTGGGATCTTTGCTCTAAGCCATGGGTCTCCAACTGGAAAGAGTGTCTGACCCACCTGCAGGCTAATTCAGCAGAGTTAGGGAAGAACCTGAGAGCCTGCATTTCTAAACCTCTCCCTGGTGATGCCTGGGGCCAGCACTTTGGTAATTACAGCTTACAGCAGTGGCCTAACCTGTCTGATTAGCATTACCTGGAATCTTTGATTAAAAACATCAAGCCCCAGCCCTATTCCCAGACTCCTGAGATTGGACTCTCTGGGAAGATGATTCCATCTTTTTAATCAACTCCCCTATGGTTCAGATCATTCAGGGATGAACTTCTGCAGTCTGAGATGCAGTCAGATCTTGGACCCCCACCTGCCTCTGAGCCCAGGCCCTCTCCCGGTTAGAGGTCTCTTCAAAGTGCAAGAACTCTGCAGACACGTGAATGCCTCATCCAATAACTTGTCCAGTAATTGGTATATTGATTGCTAGTGTCATCATGTTTTAGTATATATAAACCCCTCACTCTTTTACACAGCCCCCAACAACCCAAAAAGTCATTGTTTATTCATTGTGGCTCCCAAACTGCCCCTTGTCAGCTCCTGCTGGAGGGCTTGCTGATAAAAATCAGCAGATGATTGGACACACACATTCTTAACATGACTGACCCATGGCGTCTCAGAGGGCAGGCTGAGAGCCTGTCATTACAGTACAATGCTTTTCTTTCTTCCTCCTTATCTAGCCCAGATGATTTTGAGATTTTTATTAACTCATTATTGACTGAAGATGTCATTAAAGCCAATGGGAAAGCTTTCTTTTTTCTTTCTTTTTTATTTTAAGTGGGAATAAATGTACAGTTTTCTGGGAGGAGAGGATGGGTTAGCTGATGAAATAGCTAAGACAAACCAAGTGGAGAAACTTACTTTGTGAGAACTTAAAATCTGATTCATGGGTACTGGGATTGAAAATCTGCACAAAGTAATACCACTGACTTCAGAAACATGTTGGGGAAGAATAGGGCAATTTGATCAAGGAAATAGTGGCCCATAAAATTCAGCAATTTCTGTTGTGTTGTGGACTCAATCTTTCAAAGTTACAAACTAAATTAAAAAAAAAATTTTTTTTTGGTGTAACTCTACTAAAACCTCTAAATGTTTCTTAACCTAAATAGTCATTAAACCATATCTTGTTTCTTCATGCTTTTAATTTTCACATCTGCAGAATTGCTTTTAAAAATCAAATTAGATCTTTTGAAGGCACTTAAATTGCAACAACCTTATGTTTTTTTATATGCTCTGGGGCTTCAGCCTTTTCATCTGGATTGTGTGTCCAATTAATGGGCCATCTCAAGGAGGCACTAATCATTTCAAAAACTTGAGACTATAAAAAGCAAGCAGACCATTTCCATTATAACTGATTGGATTGAGAATACGCTACAGAGGAAATGTTCAATAATTATGATAACTTCTTAGATGAGATCACACTCACAAACTGATGCCAGTCGCGTAAGGTGCTTTTCATTGTGCAGAAGTTTTTCGAGTTCAGTTTCAGACATTCCCCTTTGGGGTTCTGCCTTCGCAATGCCAGAAGGAAGTAGCAAGAGTGGGTTTACACTGATTTTTAGCAGTTCTGGATAATTCATCTGGCAAAGAAAATGTCCATTACTAGCTGTATCTTGTTACCAAGTGTTTACTAAATTTTCATATTTTCAAACAGCATTGTAAATTAACAGACCCTCCTAATACATGGCAAAACTATTCCCCAAGAGGCAAAATGGTTGTCTGAGAACTTTTAAAAGATTTTGGCCCAGGGAAACTGATGTCAGTAAACTATGACCAATATTTAAATATGTTTAAGCAAAGTCTTGTTCTGAAATCACCTAATTGGGTCTTTTTTCCTGTATTTATTTGCCTGATGGAGAATTTCATTCACTATGTTATGTTAAATAGAATAATTACTATTTGCAAATTAACTTCATACAACCACTTTATCTAATTTAGTAATAACAGTACTGAGTCTTCTTTTCACCTTTCTGTACATAATGTTGAAGCCTCAGTGAAAGTTGGGGTGGGGAGAGTTAAAAACTCAGATGTTTTTAAAGATCCAGATGTACAGTGTCAAATAAACAAAACATTAAGGTTCTTTACTTTTTTTTCCTTTCTCATCCAGATGTTTAATATCATATAGACACTCTCTTAGTCTATTCAGTCACAACTGGTCTTTTTAAATAGCATTTACCAATATTTGAATTCTTTCTTTACAAAATTATCTCTAAAAATCCTATTTAAGACATTCATAGGGAAAACACAAAGCAATTTTCTTCAGAAACAAAATAGAGTACCTGGTAGATTTAGAATACAAGAAAACCACACAGAATTGTGCCTGAATCTTTACACTGAAAAATATTTCATTTGTTAAGTTTTAAATGATGAAATATACTTCAACCCGAAAGATTGGAATGGCAACTTAATTTTAATTGGCATGTGTGTGTTAATTTCCATTCTAGTAAGTAGCTTTGGAGAGTCAGAGGCAGGCTCCAGAGTGTAAATGATGGGCATCTTTTCTTTGGGCTCCTTTCCCAACTTATTTGCTTTTTATTAAATCCTAAAATGCATTACCATTGGCCCTTCATATCTACTTTTACAGATTTAACCAATCGCACAACATTTGCACTGAATACATACAGACCTTTTATCTTGCTGTTATTCCCTGAATAATACAGTATATCTATTCACTTAATATTTGCATTGTGTGAGATGTTCTAAGTCACCCAGAGATGGTCAGAAGTATACAGGAGCTTGTGCACAGGTTAATACTACATTAATTTATACGTGGGATTGACCACACACAGATTTTGTTATCCATGAGGGATCCTGGAACCTGTGGATATGAAAGGAAAAGTCAACCTAATGTTTTACAAACAAACCTCTGTAAGTTTGAGTGCATGAAAACATAGACATGAGGATCTAAAGAATGTCCTGATGGTGAGGCCTGGCACTCGTGCGTTCTATGTGACCTTGAGTCAGTCTGTTTACCACTTAGTCTCAATATTCTCTTCTTTAAAATAGAAATAGAGCTGGGAGCATGGCACAGCTGTAGAGCTCTTGCCTGGCATGTGAAAACCATGTGAAAAGCCCTGGGTTCCAACTCTAGCCCTGCAAAGAAAACATTTCAAAAAGGAAATAACCCTCATTCCAGTTAGCATGAGGCTGTATTGAAAGAATTTTGCATGATCAGAGTACTTTGTAAATACTTCTGCTTTATGAAATTAGTAGTGTACAAAATAGTTTATTGTCCATATTACATCCATTACACAAATAATATCACTATATAAAAGAGCCATTACTAATAATATGGAGTCCAAGGGGACACAGTGAAGGTAGTAACACAGAGAAGATCTGGAAAACTACTGTTTCTGAATTATATCCAGAAATGACTATACTTCCTGGCTGGGCAAAATAACATGAGATTCTAGCTCAACTGTGCTTCTACACTTTGCTTAGCTGAATAGAAAACCAAGTTTCCCATTGCTCTTTCTACTTCAAGTAAATAGACTAGTTGTGAAACTAAGTGTGTCTCTGACTGCAACAGGGCATTTATGCCCACCTAGGACCCGCTTTTTGTGTGACTGGTTACCTTAATTTTGATGGACTTATACTCCCACTCTCTCCTGACCGATGGCACAACGCTTACCTTTGCATATGGCAGTTGTGTGGGTGCGGGTTGACCAGACCTCTGGTGTCTCTGTATCATGAGGTATTGCTTTTGTTTCTTTCTTTCTTTTTTCCTATTAATAAGTTTTCATCAAGATCAAGTTTTGGCCAACCTTCCTTTCCACAGTATATCAGGGTTACTAAGTAAGAAGTCAACTCGTGCACTTATAAAAAAGGTAACCACTAAATTTCTCTCAAACATTTTAATCTTACTTTTTTTTATAATGACTACAGGATTTTTGGAAAAGTTATCAAAACTTTGGAGCTGTATGTTTAAGATAGTGAAAGATTTGTGAAGTACAAAAAAGAATACAAAAGAAATGAAAGGAAAATAGCTTAGTCCATTTTAATTTTTTTTTAAAGCCAGAGTGTCAGAATGCTACAAGAAAGAAAAAGAAAAAAAAACCTCATCCACTGGGACATTTCTTTCAAAGTTTAGCCCAACTTTTTCTCCATTACATGACTATCATCAAGATGGGATGAATGAATAATCAACTTTTAGTTCTTCAACTCTGAAGTCACAAATCACTCATTAGCATGTTACTATATTTGAACACTGGCTTTGAAGAGCTGGAAATCAATACAAAAGGAAACAATAATAATAAAAGGGAAGATTTCTGCTGCCATAACAGGGAAAGGTGTGTGTGCTGGAGGAAAGCAGGGTACAGAAGCCCATGACAAGTCATGATAAATGGGTCGTTATAAAATTCATGTTTAGGCAGCACCAGGCCGCGGATAATGCCATTCGTCATGGCAACACTAGGCTGCTAATGAGCTCTCATTGCATATTCATGTCTGTGTGGCTCTTCTCTCCCTCCCACCCGGAACTAGTGCCTGGAAATATCTCTACCTCAAGCTGAAGCTCTGCTTAGACCTTCTTCTTCTTCCTCTTCTTCTTCTTTCCTTTTTTTTTTTTATGTTGCAGCATTTACACTGTTAAAGTGCTGCCCAAGATTGATTGCTCTGATCTGTAGTTCAATTGTAAATTAGAATACACATCCCCCCAGGGACACACGGCCCCTATTTGTGATTAAGAAAAAAGCCCCATAATAGACTAATAGCTAAAGTTCTCTCTCTTTTACTTTCAGGCAATTAGCTTGATGAAATGGCCTCTTTTTGTGTACCCTGGAAGTGTAAACCGATATCATAATGAAGTATATGATGTTTATTCTATTATTTTCACCTTGCTGGGTATGCAGGAATGCATAAGTAATGGCTGCTTTGTCTCCTACGTTTACTGGTTCACAAGTAAACTATTTCTTAAAGAAGCAGTGTGTGCTTTCTGAGGCTTGAGTTAAGCAACCCCTCACTGCGGTGTTACCTCCATGCAAAGGACTCTCTAGTCAGGAGGAAGAAAATAAATTTGCAAGGTGGCCATGAGAGCAGGAGTCTGATATTCTAGGGGCTTCTGGCCACTGGGACCATTTGGGGTGTCTGGGGTGCAAAGTGCAAATGGCATGCAGAAGCAGTGAGGGTAATCAGGGTGCTTAGGAGAAGTGTCATGGGATGACTGTGCCCAGTGAGTCTCCAGCTAACTATCTCCCATAGTTGTGGGTCACCTACCTAGTTTCTAAGCTTGGGTGGAGAAAGCTCTTCCTGCACACGTTATTTAATTATTTTTAATGGACTGTACCCCTCACCTCAGAAAGGAGTCTAGTCTTTTTGAAATCTAAACTTTGATTTCATAAGTTTCTCAAGTCCTCTTTCATGACTATCTTTAGTAGCACTGTCATGGCTGCCTTAATGTCCTGAATTAACTTAAAATCTGTACCTTTTATGGTCATTTTGACTTTGGGGAAAAGCCAGAAGTTGCACAGTGTCAAATCCAGTGAATATAGTGTATGAGCTCATACCAATTTTATGTGCCTACATTTCTATTAGCACTCAGCAGCAGCATTCACCATATTTTTATCACAGCTCATAAAGTCATTCATGAAAGAAGACTTCCAGAACTGCTGCTGAAAGTGGCAAGAATGATGGGATAAGTATTTTCAAAGCAAGGATGAGTATTTAGAGGGGAATTAAGGGCAATGTGTCCTTTAGGTATAATATTTTTTTTAATTTCAATATTCTTCATATATTTTGATCACCCCTTGTAAACTAAAATCTAACTTGCTCTAAAATGATATAAGATGATGTCAGTTACCTTGTTATGACTTGTGTCTTGATGTCCCCCACCGAAAGCCTCATGGAGTCATAGGTGGGGCTTTTTCTGAGGTGCCTGGATCTGAAGTATGTGACATTGGAATTGATTCATGGTGCAATGCTAGGATCAAGGGCACTAGAATTAAGGGTGTGAGTGCTACCTGCTCAAAGTAGCCTGGATAAGATATAAGGGGTATAAAGAGCTGTGGTCGCCCCTTGTTGCTTTGCTGCCTTCAGCCCACTATGCACTGTTTCTCCTCTCTGATGCCTGTCTGCTATGCCAGCCTGACATTGAGCCAGTCAATTTGGGACTGAAATCTTTACAGAATGTGATCTAAATAAACCTTTCCTCCTTTAACTTTGGGTGTTGGGTATTTTGTCTCAGCAACAAACAAAGTAACTAAGACATTACTGTTCTGAGTCTACAATTCAATTTTCTGCCAAGCATCAATGATCCAGTTTGTTGTGTTCACCAAATGCTTCCTAGATTTGTATTATCTGAAAAAAATCCATCCCTATTTATTTTAATATGCATCCTATTTAAGTTTCTAGAAAATAATTTTCTAGCAAAAGAATCTTAATAAATTTTAATACTGAATTTGATGTGCATGTTTAAATTTGTTATATTCATAAATTAATATTTTATATAAATTAATTTTTGATCTAGTGTTTGGTTACATATAAAATGTGCCTGCATTTCCCCACATTACTCTAGTTGCTTCCAGGCTACATAAAATATTTTAAGAAAAGTTTGTTTCTGTATTCCGGAAAGTCTTTCTAATCC